TTTTCTTCAGGAGGATGAGATAATTCCAATCACTCTGGCTCTTGGATGAATGTAACAGAGACGGCTAGCTGTTGACAAAAATCCATGCCCTCTTATTCCTGAGCACACAGTAGGAATACATTTCCTAGCCTTCACGTCATGGGGTGACTATGTGCTGAAGGTCACCAATAGGATGTGAGTTGAACCAATGCCTATCTGACCCATAAAAGTTCTCCCATGTGTGCTCATTGAAGCTCTTTCCCACTTCCAGCTGACAGGGATGGAAGTAACACTCAGAGAAACCTTAGAAGCCGCAGATTGAAGATGGGAGAGGCATCATCAACCTAGGTGTCTGAATGACTGCATGGAGCAGACTCTCCACCTCTACGTACATACCAGTCCCACACACAACACCATCACCAGCATTATTGTCTAGGAAACACCTGAACTCTTCCATGAGAAAAATCTAAAGTGTTCTTGTTTCATGTAATTACATGTATGGGTCTGTTTGTTAACAGCCTAGTCTACCTCATCTTATACAGTGAATAAAAGAGGGGATTCAAAAAGTGGAGCCAGAGCAGAAAGGTTAATGAAAAGGCTATTTTAATCAACTACAGGAGATATATTGATAGTTTACACAAGGGTGGTAACAGTGAACTTGGCAAGATATGACCAGATTCAGAGTATAGTTGGAAGAGAGAGCCAACATGGACCAAGGTGGCAGAAGGGGAGCCTGTCTACTTCATCTCAATCCTACTGAGGAGCTTTTCATGGGACCAGTCGGAGCTCTGAAATATTTTCTCTGAAAAGATACCTGATCTATCTGAGGAAGTCAAAACCCGTGTGATGACAGGACAGCGGTGGCCACACCGGAATGTCTGTGCTCTCACAGAGTTTCTGGTAAGCATTTCCGCTAAACAGATGAGAGTCACAGGGAGGGAGAGGCTTGTCATAAACTCTGTTTAGTTGGCTGCTTGGAGGAGAGAGAGACACCTTCAGCAGAAAGGGGGAAAGGACACTGCACGAGAGCTTGTGCTCAGAGAATGTGGCACTTTAAGGGGCTCTTGGGAGATTCCATCACTAGAACTCAATCCTTGATACACATGGATGTATGCTCTTCTAGATAGAGGAATCTCCCAAGAGTCCAATAAGGTGTCACATAAGAAAGAAAAATGTTCTATATAGAGAAGACCTGCCTACTCTACCCCAAGCTGGGGTCGTCAGAACCTGGCGATCAGGTCAGGGGTGGAGTGGGTGGTCAGGAGGGTGGAGGATAGACAAAGAGGAAGAAGCCAACCGTACCACCAACTCTGCTTTCCCACTGCAGGTCTCCAGCCCAGTATGGACCCGAGCCGGGCAGGAGAGAAATTTTTGCATCAAATCAGGTTTGGAATTTTACTACTATGTTGGATCATGCATCGAAAAACATTGAACTAAATCCGCGCTTGTGATTTCAATGTACTGTCAGACTCTCTATTTCTAATAATGAGTATAAGGGTCATGGGATATGTCTGACTTTTGTTCTTGAAACAGGGGAAGATTAAGCCACTGAATAAAATTTAAAGAGACCACAGGAAACTAAAATACAATAATGTCTTGATCATGTTATAAACCATGCTTGTTCAACACAGTGGTTCAATTCATGACAGAGGAGAAATGTGGAAATGACATACTGAACAGGAGTTTGGAAAGCACTGAGCCCAGGCCACGGTGCTTCTCTACGGACTTGGGAGAAACATGGCTCAATCATTACAATTTCTTAAAGAATCATAAGAAAAAGCACTGCAGCTATGTTTATAAATATCTAACAAAATATTAAAACATGAGATTGCTCTTCAGTTTTGAGCTTGCTTTCTACATGAAGTATTGTCTACATTATTTAAAGTTTTAGTTTCCTATTAAAAATATCAAATGACAAATTCAGAAATGTTTCTAGAGTTTTATTCCTGTCTGCACCCTATATTCTTATTTTTTGTCCATGAATATTCTCAAGTGGTAATGGGAATTCTATGTACAAATTATCCCTGTGCTTGCCCAGAAAACCTGGTCTGTGGATTTCGATTTAATTACAGATAATAATGGGGGGAAAATAAACCTAGAGCTCTATTTTTACTGTACCCATAACACAGTTAATCTGAGACACTGGAGAGGTCTACTAATTCAGAAGACTTGAAAATAATTTCTTTGATATAATAAAAAGAGAACCATTTTCTTTAACTGAATTCCTTGGCCTTTGTAGCAGAAATCAGATGCCTCACATTACTGTACCAGTTTCTCTCCCCACATGCAATCTAGGATCCATTAACCAAGGCTATTTCTTTATTCAGTAACATTTTACACAAACTCGATTTTATGAATGATGTGGATGCCACTGCTGAGAGGTCCCACTGGTAATATAATACGGTGATGCAAATGCACACTTCAGATAAATTAAAGGCATAAAAATAAACTATAAATTGGGGAAATACATTTTTAGGCTATATATTTTTTTTAGGTCATTCCTGTCAAAGTTGGAAACTATCCTTTGTAAGAACATAATGAAAACTGCTAGATGAAACAGGGGAGAGATCGCTTCCTGAGCTTGTATGTGCTGTGGCTTGTTAGTCCCTTATGGAGGG